GTCTAATAGACCCCTAATGTCACCTTAAAGAGAACCTGTCACTTCCAATGTGCTACCACATAGGTTGCTTGTGAGCCCCCTATGTAATAGCAATTATGTTAAGTAAAAAGAAAGTTCTTTTAAAAATAAAGTAAATAAAATAAATTTAAAAACACACAAAAAAGTTCCCTGTTCCCGTGAACACGCTCATACTAATGCAAACATGATTGCGCCACAGATGTTAGGTATTGCTGCGTGCACCAGAGTGAGAGAAATAATTCTAGGGCTGATATTCATGGTTGACTCAAAACGTATGACCTGTACAGGCTTTTAAAATGTCACCTATGGACAATTTGGGCTACCATCTTTTCTTGCTGTTTCAGGGACACAGACAAAGCTTGGCATGTTGGGTATATATTTACTTGGCACAACTTCACCTTTTATATTTACAAAAAAATGGGTATTATATTGTGTTTTTGTGCACTAAAATTAACGTAAGTGTATTTTTTTACTGAAAGTTTGGGTTTGATAAAGTGTTATGTCAATATCATTTGACATAAAAATTTGCAGCTGCCACCATTTTATTGTACAGGGAATCCACTTTCAGTACATACAGGTGAAACTCGAATAATTAGAATATTGTGCAAAAGTTCATTTATTAGACTCATTACATGCAAAGCAAGATAGTTCAAGCCGTGATTTGTCATAATTGTGATGGTTATGGCTTACAGCTCATGAAAACCCCAAATCCACAATCTCAGAAAAGTAGAATAGTACATGCAATCAATAAAACAAGGATTGTACATAGAACAATATCGGACCTCTGAAAAGTATAAGCATGCATATGTACTCAATGCTTGGTTTGGGCCCCTTTTGCAGCAATTACTGCCTCAATGCGGCGTGGCATGGAAGCTATCAGCCTGTTGCACTGCTGAGGTGTTATGGAAGACCAGGATGCTTCAATAGCGGCCTTCAGCTCTTCTGCATTGTTCGGTCTCATGTCTCTCATCTTTCTCTTGGCAATGCCCCATAGATTATCTATGGGGTTCAGGTCAGGCGAGTTTGCTGGCCAATCAAGCACAGTAATCCCACGGTCATTGAACCAGGTTTTGGTGCTTTTGGCAGTGTGGGCAGGTGCCAAGTCCTGCTGGAAAATGAAGTCAGCATCCCCATAGATCTCGTCTGTGGAAGGAAGCATGAAGTGCTCCAAAATCTCCTGGTAGACGGCTGCGTTGACCCTGGACTTAATGAAGCACAGTGGACCAACACCAGCAGATGACATGGCTCCCCAAATCAACACAGACTGTGGAAACTTCACACTGGACTTCAAGCATCTTGCAGTGTGTGCCTCTCCATTCTTCCTCCATACTCTGGGTCCTTGGTTTCCAAATGAGATGCAAAATTTGCTCTCATCAGAAAAGAGGACTTTGGACCACTGAGCAACAGACCAGGTCTGTTTTTCTTTAGCCCAGGTAAGACGCTTCTGACGTTGTTTGTTGTTCAGGAGTGGCTTGACAAGAGGAATACGACATTTGAAGCCCATGTCCAGGATCCGTCTGTGTGTGGTGGCTCTTGATGCACTGACTCCAGCCTTAGTCCACTCCTTGTGAAAGTCCCCAACACTTTTGAATGGCCTTTTCCTGACAATCCTCTCCAGGCTGCGGTCATCCCTGCTGCTTGTGCACCTTTTCCTTCCACACTTTACCCTTCCACATAACATAACTTTCTATTAATGTGCTTTGATACAGCACTTTGGGAACATCCAACTTCTTTTGCAATTACCTTTTGAGGCTTTCCCTCCTTATGGAGGGTGTCAATGATGGTTTTCTGCACAACTGTCAGGTCAGCAGTCTTTCCCATGATTGTGATTCCTACTGAACCAGACTGAGAGACCATTTAAAGGCTCAGGAACCCTTTGCAGGTGTTATGGCTTAATTAGCTGATTAGAGTGGGACACTTTGAGCCTAGAATATTGCACCTTTTCACAATATTCTAATTTTCTGAGATTGTGGATTTGGGGTTTTCATGCGCTGTAAGCCATAATCATCACACTTATGACAAATCACGGCTTGAACGATCTTGCTTTGCATGTAATGAGTCTATCTCATATATTAGTTTCACCTTTTAAGTTGCATTAGTGAAATAAATGAACTTTTGCACGATATTCTAATTATTCGAGTTTCACCTGCATATAATTCTGGGGGTTTTAGGCCTAAAATGTGGATTATAACATCTGTGCAAAAAAAATGCAAAAAAGGCTCTGGCAGCAAAAGGATTAAAGTCTTTTATTTGGTACACTATTTTAATAAAACCCTGCTCTGTTTTTATTAGAACCATAGGCTGACAAAAGCATACTTTAATGTTTCAATGTATTTATTTATTTTTTGCAGTTGCAGATAACAATTGTAGCCTGAAGGTGGCAGGCTGAAGGGTTTCATTTTTTTTCTGCATTAAAGCCTCCATCATGTATGTGAACTCTATGTATGTCAGAATAGACATAGTGATCACATGATTGCCAACAATGCCGATTGGTTCCCCATCATCAATGGGTGTCAGTGACAGATTGGACTGAGAGCCACTAGCTGCACTAAGTGTTGCCTGGTGGCTCTCAAAAGAGAGGACTTTTATAAACTGTATAATGCTGGGGGGCGTTTATATACAGATGGTGGATAGGAAGTGGTTAATTGTTTTTTAGAAAGACCACATTTTATCGGGGGTTAACTACACTGTACCTTACCTCTAATTACAAGTAAAAAAAAACTTGAAATTGTAATAAAATAATAAATGGGGTACTAAAGGAACTCATGGTATGATATTCTGTTCCATTGAAAGTACGTTTACAATGCTTGAGTTAATTTTTCACTGTTTCACAACTTGAAAAAAGCGAATGCATCAAGAGGCTATACCTTTTACCATATTGTAAAAAATAGTCACTGGACAGACTGGGGCGAATTTATCAAAACTGGAGTAGATTTGCACTGCAGCCAATCAGCTTCTCTCTTTCATTTTCAAATCTTACCTGAGCAAACTGAAGAGAGATGCTGATTGGTTGCCATGGGCAGCTGCTCCAGATTCTGTTTGCTCCAGTTTTGATAGATTACCCCCCCCCCCCCCCCACTGTGTTTGTTTTTGCAATTAACCTTTCCTATTTATAAAGTATTTCTGCTATTTTTAAAAGTTATTTTCAGTACCCTAAATCAGCCATAATTCCTTATTATGAGTCAAGACAGGATGGAAAAGCAATGTTTCTCTGGGTGGGGTGATTTCTGCATTCTTGCTTTCCATTTAAGACTTCATATAGACTATAGAATGCTTTAAAAGGAGATAGAGAAAGTGCAGCAAGAGAAAAGTGTGTATTCCTGTGATTTTATACATGGTGTGGCAGACACCTATTTTATAGTTCCAACAGGAAAGTACAGTAACTCGTACAGTAACCTACTGCAATCAATCAACTTTTATTTTTGACTGCTGTAAAAAAAAGTTCATTCTCTTTTGAATGAGAGCACTTGTGTAGTGTTCCTAATTGAAGTATAGATTTTAGAAAGTTCAAGAGATTTTTTTTAGCATAGTATGGATTGCCTTTGTCAGTTAAGCAAGACTGGAAGTTAAATGCATAGTTTAACACAAGGGCATTGTTTTGTTTTAGATTTATTCAAGTTTATTGTTCAAATAGTTTATTTTTGCAATGGTTTTTTAGATGTATTTGTATCAGGCAGGGCCATCCCTATAATGAGGCAGCTGCCTCAGGCGGCATCTCAAGGTGTCACTTTCCATCCAGAGCTTCCCAGGTTGCTAAGAGCTGTTAGCAACCTGTGACAATCTGACTGTCGTTCTGTCCAGGTTATTGACATCACTAGTTGCCAGGAGCTGAGCTGGATGCTCTGGCTGGTGTTCTGCCCAGCTCCTGGCAACCAGTGACATCAGTGAAATGGGTAGAATGTCATACAGAGCTGGAGCTAGAGGTTCCGTGCACCACCAGCACTCCCCTTTATCACCCACCCCTCCATAACCCCTTTCCATTTACGTTCACCATCAGCACACCCCCTCCATACTCTTAGTTTAGGGACAATCCTGGTATGAGGTAAAGAGCAAAAACACAAGAAAAAAAACCTGGTTCATTCTCTTTTAATTTACTGCAACTATGTCTACAGACATCACAGAATGTTTTCCAATCTGGTCAGTAAGGATCAGAGAACATTCATATGTGTCCATGCCTTACCTGACCATGGCAGACATCACTTGCTCAAAGCATCTAAAAGGGAAAGTCAATTGGCCAGGTTGGATTTTTCTCAACCAATAACTAATATTTCCCCTCAGGGAGGCTACTGTGGGGGTTCTCTGTAGTAAAAAAAGAATTACTGCAGCAATTTGGCACTTGGTGGTGTCTGATGTGTGTGTGGTCATCCCTAGATTAGGTAACTCACTCACAAATATTCTTTTAACTGTTATTTAAACTGAAAACTGCAGCATACCAGCAAAGATTCCTATTTTGATGATTTCATAAAGATCTAAGAGATACTTTATATGACTTAAGTTTATTCAATGTATCTTTTTACGTTGTGTACATTAGATTCAAACTTTGATGTTTTGACACTTTGTTCTGGAGTAGTTTGGGGGTAGGGTTGATGCTTTTTTTAGAGAAGATAATGGACCAATTGTAGTCTTGCTACCTGCACTTCGTGTGCATAGTGTGAACAAGTGAAATTATGTAACCAAAGGCAGTAAAGATAGTCAATGATCAGGCAAAGTTGAAACACCTTACTACAGTACTGGAACTCGCCTACTCCCTTTGCCCCCCCCCCCCCAATACATTCCTATTGGCCTATTGCTATGATGAACTGCCACACTGACCAAAATGATCATCCAACAGAAAGGGGGTTCCTACAGACTTGACTGAAGAAAAGATATCAGAATTGCATCCTTGCAAGTTAGAATGTATTATAATTTTGTTTCTTATTCAAGTAGTCTAAACTTGATATGTTGTCATACTTATATACAAAAGTAACATATTTAAGGCTTACCATTTTCAACTGGATCTTTTACAACAGCATTGGTTTTAGCAATGTCTTCTTTCAATGCACTGTAGTTCTGTTTCAACCCCAGGAGATTCAGATTAAGATCTTTGATGCGTGCAAGAACATCGTTGGCAGTATCATTTGCTTGCTTGGCTTTGTCTTTTGCTGTCTGAATCTTCACCATTGTATCTATTACAGACAAATGTGTGTCAAGTGGAGACAGAGAATGGATACAAGAAAATATCTTGCCAATTGAATGTTAACATTATCCTCCCTTGAATTGAGACATTTTCATTTCATTATACATTACAGTGACATTTCCTCTGGCATTAAGTGGCCGAATGTGGCTCTTAAGATATTTTCATAAAATCCCTACAGAGTTAATACAAAAGTAAATGTATCATAATAATTATGCAATTATGTCTACAAGTATGTAAGATTGCTTTTGAAGATTTGATTTCTTGTATCCTTTTTTTACATTATGAATAAGTAGACAAAATGAATGGTCATGGTCCTTCTCAAGTAAAAATCTAAAGAGAGACATTTATTAAAGAAACAAGCAAAAAAAATTGAGGTGTTGTCTTGCAGTAGCACTCCAATATTTATTTGATTTTTTTTTACTTGTGCCAGAAGTATGATGGTTAGAATTTGAAAAGTTGTCATCATAAGTCATGTAACTATGTGTAATGGGACCCTATAGCACAACCATTAAGGAGTTTACCTTCTCTCTAAATCACAACTCCTAGGTGAGCAATATTGTTTTCCTATAAATTGGATATGTGTAGTAGTTGTCAACTTACCTAATATAGGAAACCTCAAGTGTGGTCCCTAGCATCAGCAGACAATGGCTAAACATAATGTTCAGTGTATGGAATGCAAACAAATTGGACAGTAGATGGCCAGAGACTGTGGGCATGCTACTGGCAAAGGCCAATGATGCAGGAATACTGTAGGCATGGTTGGAAATGGAGGACATACTGTAGAAGACTGTCAGAGATTGGGAACATATAAGAGACTTCTCGAGATCACTGCCATTAATATACATTTGCATGTTAGAATCCCCTACAGCCCACTAAAAAATATTGGCACCACATTTGATATTCCACTTAGCATAATTCAGTATAAAGTAAGACACAATTCAAAAAAAGAGAGAAATAAATGAACAGCACAAAAGATTTAGGAACATGTAAAAGAAATAAAGTAAGGCATTTATCCAGTAGAAAAAAAAACAGTTTAAAAAATATTTTCCCTTACCAAGGCAAGGGAAACACTGACTATTGGCTGCTGGAGCTTGGGAGCTGCACATTAGGTACCAAAGGGCTGCATGCTGTCCTCGGGCTGCAGGTTGGACAATAGGGGGCATAGAGGCTTCCAAAATTTATATAAATTCATTTCATCAAAATGTATTTGCCAAATGCTATGGACAACTGCATAAATTAGTGTGTGTCCAGACAGCTCTGGGCCTCATATGCGTCTTTAACAAGGTCTAAAACTTCCATCTAATTAATTTAACAAAATCTCAATTACAGCAGCAGCCAGTAATACACACACATACAAACATACCATTAGGCATTGCAGATAGCTTTCCAAGGGTATTGTTCAGAGCTTGGATCATATCCTGTTTTTTCTCAGCAGCATTTTTCAGTCTGTCCTTCACTTTTGCAAGGTCATTTTCATTCTCTAAAAATAAATGAATACATATAAAAAAAGGTTTAAATATTTAGCTAGTGTTATAACAAAGCGCTTAAAGCCCCTTTAAAATGTATAAGATGTCCATATAAACAGCTAATAAGATACAATCTGATCTTTAAACATATGTTAGAAAAACAAACACAATTTTCTTAGAGTTTTCCTTTCATTAAATAAATATGTAGGCTGCCTTTACTGCCCTTCTGAAAATGCTATTTGGCTATCTGTATCTGGATTTAGAACATCTGACTCACAGACCTGAAACAAGCATGCAGCAAGTAGAAGTCAGAGAAAGTTGGAGTTCCTTATCTCGTATGTATTCCAGGTCAGGGATTGAATAATTGTAATCAATGCATTAGCTTGCAAGTCATAAGTAGTGGAAACCTTTAGTAGAAACACCATGTCAAAACAATCAGTAAATCCCCAGATACAGACAGCTGAAAGAGTAAATCTTGACTTTCACTGTAAAAGTTGAGCTTGGGCTTCACAAGTCTCCTGTTGGTCATCACATTAACCCTAAGGGCCAGTAGGCAGGCTTGGGAGGTTAAAGGGTGGGGGTAAGTTCAATGTTTAACAGGAAAAGTCAAGTCCTATGTATAACTTCAGTTGCCTCTATCTCTGAATCTGCTGATCCTATTGATGTTCAGTTTTCTGCTGATGTTAACCTTGGCATATATCGTTTTTATCAATGGGTCACTATTGTCGGCCCGCAGCTCATCATGATTGGCGTGGATTAAAAACACTGCCTGACATAATTAACGCTGATTTTTTTTTCTAATAAAAGGACCTTTTTTATGATGTAGGTGTTATAATTTACTTTTCCAATATACATTGGTGTCAAACCGCCTTAAAAGGGGGGAAGGCTTTGTTGCTCCACCCTTATAAGGTACCTTACCAATGTTGAAGTCATGTGGCCTGGTATGGTTGGGGGGGGGGCTCATAATCGCACAACTTTTTCCTGGCAATCCGGGCTCCATGCCTGGTATTCCACATAATTTTTTTAAACTCATACTGACCTGTTAAGGAAAAAAAAATTGGAGAGCTTCCCCTCCATCGAGGGGACATGGCCTCATCTTTGCAACCAGTCCACCAAAAAGGATGTTGGGGTCTGCAGGGGGGGGACTTATCAAAATCTGGAAGCACCCAGATATCCATCCCTCCCACTAGGTGAAACAGGGTACATATTACATATTGTCACTTATTTACTATGAAATGTTCACCTGCCATCACAACCACCCACCGATGGTCACCTGTTCTACTCATCACAAATGAACCTGCAAAATGTCAGCTGACTTCAAACATTGGTCTGAACTCCGCTGAAGTCTACGGAAGCTGAATGTGTAATATTGCACTATCCCAATGCACTTAATGCCTGCAACTGGATTTAGTTACAAGAATGTGTTTTCTGCTGTTTCCTTACTCTGCTATCCTAAAGATTAATAAATAACATCTTTTAGGCAAAGGAATGTAGTATTTCAGCCACCCTGAATTGAAGCCAAAACATTGTATAAATTGCCCTTCACTTTGTTTTTCATTATGTTTTACTTGATCAGTTGTATACTTCAAGAACACTAATATGCATCTTTGTCTACATGAACAGATCATTTAACTAGCTTTACAAACAGCACATCCAATGTAAATTGCTAAAGGTTGGAGGGCAGAAAGCAATTTTTGATACTGAGAACTAAATTTAATTAGAAAAATAATTTGTGATTGGTTAGAGCTGTGCTGTTGAATTTGCTTTGAAATTGAAAAAGCTGTATTGATGGCTGCTGCTTGTACACATAATTCTTACTGCCATTACTAAAATTCTACAGAAAATAATAGAACTAAAGAAGTGTAGCATTGCATAAACATGTTTTGGGACCAAACAAATATGTATTGCTTTAAAGAGATAACAAATTAGATAGTTAATATGAGTAAGAAATGAAATCACTAAACAGATGCTGGAGGGTTTGCTGATTCAGTTAAGTCCCTGCTCTGAGCAGGTTTACATTAATTAGTGGTAGTTCTTATGACAAAGAAGACAAGCACAAATATTGTGTTTTTTGCTGTATCTGATTTAGTTAAAATTCAACCTTTATAGACATTTTTCTTAACTTGCTACATAGTAAACAAAAAGGTTGTGATACAGCATAACTGAAAGAATGCCAAATCTAACAAAAATATTGAATGAGTGCATGTGAGGTTGTTTGCTTAAAGTGACACTAAACTCAGAAGTTAAATCTTAAAAATGCATTTGAATACCATGATTAATAACACAAATGTAGCTTATTTGTGCTGTGATCAGCTGTAGATCCTTAAATCATCTCTGAATTGGTGCTGACACTGTCCTTCCTTCTGGTGGCTGGCGACTTTTGTTCCCCATGGATCCTGTGTTTGTTGTAAAATAGTCACCGCTCCAAGCTCACTCTTGTGCAGGGCCAGATTCTCCACAAAGCCACCGAGACCTGGCTTTAGGGCAGCAGGGAGTCGAGGGGCAGCACAGCCGATACTGGCCCCAGGGGTGTGAAATTCCTAGTGCCGACGCCTGGGACATGCAGTTCCGGACACCGGGCAGGTAGTTTTTTCCTACATTTAGCCCTGCTTTAGGTAAGTAGGGCTAACTGCACAGTGGGTAAGCCACCACTCGTTTGTATAATTGATCTCGGTGATGCCGCCAAGATCACTTGTAATAAACCTGCTTGTCCCCCCGATGCCCCCCCCACCATGGTCCGCCCCTACCTATCAGCTGCCTCTCTCTCAGCGTGCCACCCCCCTCTCCACCATGGTTTCGGGGTCCCCCACTCTTTTGGGGCAAAGTAGTTTAGGTTGGAAAGCGGGGAGTCCACTCTTCTCCGTGTGAACACTGCACTCGCAGCTTTCCCATCTCAGCCGTCACAGCAGAGCCAACACAGCGCTGTGCTCAAACTCCTGCATTGGAGGTGACAGGTTCAATAAAGAGAACCTGTCACCACCAAATGCTATCACACAGGGGCTCCTGTGTGATTGCAATACAGTTAAGTAAAAAAAATAAAATAAAAATGTATGCATTGAGGAACCTGGTCTTGGGGCAGCAGAGAAAGTAGATCTGGCCCTGCTCCCATAATGGACTGTAATCTCAATACAAATGAGTACACTAAACGGGAGATTGTAGCCCGTCATGGAAGTGAGCTTGTAGTGGTGGCTACTTTACAACACACACAGGAACCATGGGGAACAAAAGTAGCCACCCTACAGACAGAAGGACAGCATCAACATAAATTTAGAGATGATTTAAGGATCTACAGCTGAGGGATACACAAATAAGTTAAATTTTTGGTAATAGCTAGGGTACTTGAATGTATTCATAAGATTTAACTCCTGAGTTTAGTGTCATTTTAAATCCTCCAAAAAATTTATATACAGGCTTTACTTGTATTTAAAGAAGAAAATGTACCTTTCAGGGCTCTGTGGTAGACTCTTAAAAAGACCCTGTTACCAGACCATCTATTTTAACAGCAATCTTTGTATAAGATTGTATGTGCGATTAACATATTTTAGGCATGCTAATTACCTGTAAAATCCTCTCTCGTATGGCAGCAAGTTCAGGGGGACATTGCATGTTGCAAGTTAAGGAGCACAAGGCTCTATTTACACATGAGCGTTTTTCCATGCGTATTCGGCCATACAAATATGCGCGGGACCGTGCTAAACATAAAAAACAATGCATTGCATGTGCAGTGTTCAGACTATTGCAGCAACTGCGCACGCAAAATAGTCCAAGCATGATTTTATGGGTGGATTACGCACGTTCCGGCTATAGTAATAACCATAAATGTGCGGATACCACGCGTATGCTCGCGTTTCGTTATGGCAGTTTTCCATGTGGAAAACGCTACCGCTATGTGTGAAAGGAGCCTAAGAAACAAATACTTTTCTATGCTCCTCAGCTCATCTAGTGACCACAATTCGGTATTTTCTGAATGTTACATTTGTACTGAAAAAAAAGTAATATTGAGGGGACATGGGCCTCATGGGACATGGGCATTCCGTTTTGCCTATCTTCACATATAATGAACCTTCACAGAGAATCGCAGGGTGAATGGCTCTGCAAATTATTTATACATAAACCCCTAAGTCTAATCCTGAAAACAAATGTTTAATAGTAAAACAACCTTAAATGTAATCTTAAAGCTTATCTCCTAAACCTAACTTTTTTAGCTAAGCCTAAATCTATTTACTAAATAAATGTACTTTTGTTGAGGTCGCCAACAAGATAAAACACAGTGTGTGTATGTATGTACATATGTGTGTGTGTGATATCTATTCAGTCATATCTGACTCCCTGAGATTTTTTGAGCCACCTCTTTGTCCATCATGTCTGGTACACTTGAGAGCTTTTTCCATAATTTTTTTTTACAAGGTAGGTTGCTGGGTCTTTCCTCAACTCTCCAAATTTACACAGGCTTGAGACAAGCATATAAAATGTGATACACATGTGCACAGCCAATTTACACACCTAGTCTAATATACACACATACTAGACTCAAATTAGACAAATTAGACAGTTAACTAACCATCATGTCTTGGAGGAAACCCACACATGCACAGTGAAAACATGCAAACTCAATGCAGACAGTATTCTGGTCAAGAGTCAAACCAAGGACCTCATTGATGCAAGACATAAGTGCTAACCACTAAACCACTGTGCTGCCCAGAAGAAAGTAAAACAGGGCAAGCAGCTGTGGTGGTTGGAATTAATGTAAAAAAGTTGCTTTCTTTAAGCCCTGGTTCACACCTAGGCGTATTGCATATGCGTGTCTGTTGCGCGGTTTTTTTACCACGATTCGCCGTAAAAAATCGTGCGACAAACGCGCGTTTCCGAGGGCTACTTGGCTGTATCCCAATGGAAACACGCAAACAAAAACGGCCCAAAGTAGTACATGTACCTTTTCAGGCGTGGGCCGTTTTGTAGCGCGTTATGGACGGGCTGAAATACGCCAAGGTGTGAACCAGACCCATTGAATACAATGGGATTTAGATGTTTGAGCGTTTTGTAGAGCGTTCGTCGAGCGTAGAATGCGCTACAAAACATTCAGGTGTGAACGAGGGCTAAACCTATATGCTCTCTTGTGATAATCAAATTGTTTTCAAACCAGGCAAATCAGAGAATGTCAAGTGTTTTGATTCTCCTTGAATGCTGTATACTGTATGAATGCAGGTTTGCCTGATCTGCACAGCACCATAAAAATCAAAAAATTGTGATTGCCTGGATTTCCAATTAACATGGTCTTACAGATGTGTGTGCAAATACTCAGGCAGATAAAAAAAAAAGTGAATTGGAGATTCTATTAATGTGATCATCACTAGTGTCCTCACACAGTAACTTTGTCATATTCACAGGTGCCAGGTAATGCGAGCTGCTACTGCTTCAGTATAGTTGTAGACACCAAAGACTCATTCAATTAACATATTAAATAATATAATCCTTTGAAATTTGATTTGCATGAAGCCTCTGGTTATGAAGCATAGTGGAGCCCTTATTTCAATGCACCTGTCCTGTGACTCTTTGGAAATCAATCATGTGGGTGTGGAGTCTAGCCGCACTAAGATGACATTTACATATAAATTAAAAAGGACAACAGACTACCAGACTCCATCAGCAACATCCATCTTTTGCAAGATTAGTTTTCTATGAGATGTATGTTTTCTATTAACGTGATTTTCAGATATTCTGGAATTACTAATTTTAACTTTTTCACAGCTGAAATAAGTTGAATATGTCCTGATCAAGAAGGATCTTTCTTTCTTGAAAGCCCTGGCTGTTTAAACCTCAGGTTGCAAATTATGTTAACTATTGTTTTCAAGAGACTCTATTGCTGAAGTCTAAGTGCAAAAAAAAAAAAAAATGCCCTGCAATCTACACAAAAAGGTTCCATGCAAAGAAGAAAGTAAATTCTCACTTACACTGACGTTTCTCCAAAAACTTACATTTCCAGGAGTATCAATCTCCTGGTTTCCCACAATGCTCAGGGGTTCCTCCTGCCGAACCCCCACATCACTACTGTACTGGCGTATGGGTTGGTGGGAGAAACCACTGAGGAACACACCTGGAAATGTCCGTTTCCAAATAGACTTTTCATTAATTCATTACATAGCTGTTTGGAGGCAGTTAGTGTTTTCATTCTTCTTTGAAGGGCAACTTTTTATTTGTATTTAGGCTTTAGTGACACAGATGCTTTAAAGTGGATCCAAAATAGAATAAAATCTTTGGCCCTGCTGTCCACCCAACTGCCGATAAAGAATGCTTATGTTAGAATATTTTAATTTAAAGAGACTATTAAAGAAAATTTAAAGAGCCATAAGGTATAAAACCCCAAACTGCTACACATTTAAAATACAGGCACTTAGAGCACATTTCTGCTGCAGACTCTGTGAAAGTACCAGATGCTGAGCTGTACTGACATGCAAAACTTTGGCACTTCCTATTAGTGTCACAGCTTTCCCACCTCATTCAGGCCTAATGCACTTTCATGTTGGCATGTTAGGCTGCCCATTATAGTGATCGGCCATTGGACATGTATAGGGGTCAGCTGCAAGTACCAACACTGCCCCTAAGTTTTAGGGATATGGCTGTGACAGGTTTGAGAGGATGTGCAGTATTTCAGTGGGTTAGACCGCATATTTCATTGTTATGCAGCAGGACAGGCAGGCATGCTGAGAGTGTATCTAAATCCACAAACAAAAATAAAATGTATTGCAGCTGACCAGTCCTTAGATGTTAGCTGTATTTTCCCCTACATTTTAAGGCTTCCTTTTTCTTTATTTTCACCTGTTTTGTTTTTTTCTAAGACTTCAAACATGTCTGCCTTGATTCATCACCATTATATGGTAATTTTTTACACAAGAAAGAAAACATTGTTTTTGCTTTCTTTTCAGATCACAGGAGAGGACACTGGCAACACCAACACTGTATTTCTTATAGAAATTTTACTTGGCCTGAAAAAAGAAAAGGAATGCAGCCACCCCATCTATGTAATGGTAAACTTCCATACATTTTTTGTTTTTGTTTCGGGTTTAAAATGCTCTAGACTACTAAAAGTGATATAAAACGTATAGGTGTACATATGTATGTGTTTATGTATTTGCAGGCATACATACATATATGGAGAGCAGACTATTTACTGATTACTACAAGATCAAAGTTTTATGGCTGTAATTGGTGGCAAGAACACCTCATCACTCTATCACCACCAAAATAGAGTGCAGAGTTGTAGATTATTTTACTGACAACCAGAAAGTATGCACAGTTCTCCAAGTAGTAGGTTAATCAAGCTGGATAGGAGTGCATGCATGAAGTATGTATTTGGAATGTGTGTGTGTGTTCGTGTATATGTGTTTATTCTGCAACATGTTTGATCTTCTTGGTCTGGAATAAGCAATACAAAGTAAGAACTGTCATTCATTACCATTTCTGGGCCTGGATTTCTGAATAACCCCTTTACTTGTGTAAAATAGGCAAGGTAGCTTACTCAAAATCTGATTGGGATAGGTAAATATGGAACATTTTAATATTTTAAAGTTGATACTTTATCCAATATACAGTACCTTTTAAGTCATGTGATTGCCTTTTAGCATCGGTATGAACCCGGAAACTTTTCTGAATGGAACTCTTTGCTTCATCTTTTAAGGATCCTTGTGGGCCAGTTACCTTTATGAAAAAATACATATTTTTAGCATTCTGCAAACATCCTATTTTAGAAATAACGACAAATAGAGGAAATGTGAATTTTATTTGGTTTACTTTGATATTACTAAGGTCATTTCCTACAATATATAGGCTTATACTTTCCTTTAATAAACAGCCAAACTACTATAAAAATGTTTTAATGCTTTCCTATTAGACACTAGACATGTAAGCTGGCAAAAAAGATGTTTAGTTTTAGATTTTTTGTGATTTGGGTCAGAAAATCAAATTGTTTCAATATTCGGATCTAATTTCAGAAGAGTTAAATGATATTTAAGAAAGAACGTTCATTTTTAACTTTTGACAATCCACAGGAACATGAAGCAATTTTTTTTCCAAATTCTTACCCTTTTGGTCTGGTAGGAATTTAAGGGGGGACCACAACACCCAAAAAAAGTGTGGGTTCCCCCCCTAAAAACCCTTACCAGACCCTTGGTCCGAGCAGCAGCCTGGCAGGAAAGTGGCGACGATTGTGCAAACCCCCCTCCTGCACCATACCAGGCCACATGCCCTCAACATGAGGGTGCTTTGCTGGGGGGGGGGGGGCCCTTCCCCA